GGCTCCCAAGGCCTGCCTGGATCGCCCAGTCTCATATTCTCCTGGTGGACACGTGTCGCCCTGGTGTGGGTGCCCACTGTGCTGCTTGCCGGCCTGAGGCTTGGAGAAGCGTTACCGAGCTTACTCGGGTTCCCGACAGCCCGTGCCACCCCGAGCCTTGTCTGCCAGGCTGCCAGCCAGGCAGGTTCCTCGGGGCTTCCGGCCAGAGGCGGGCTCTCCCTGTCTTCTCGCTCAGTCCCTCCGGCCATACAGTTGACAGCTCAGTACAGCGGAGAGGCCACCTGAAGCGACCGGGACAGACTGACGAGGACAAGACAGAGGGACTGAGCGGAAAGGCTCATATTAGAGACCATCTAACTAGGAGGAAATGAACAAATGGCTTCTGGAACTAACCAAATGGGAAGAAGGTAACAGGCAGAGAGGAGTCAAAGAACTCCATGGTTCAAAGTCTGGATGCAAACAAGCCATGTCTGCAACAGCCAGGGTAGCCCAGGGACATGTCTGTACACAGTGCTTTCCACTCCCTCGTCCCCCCTCCCTGCGCTCGCTCAGAACATTTGCCAGCACCTCACCTCTCTAGAAGGAAGGCTCCGTAACAGCGGGAACCTCGCTCACTTTGCTGCAGAACACCTGGCTCGAGAGCAGCGCCTGGCATGTGCCATATTTTCAGTGTAGGTATATGCAGACCGTGTGAATAAATCTGTGCTAACATGCAGTGCCTGGCATGTGCCATATTTTCAGTGTAGGTATATGCAGACCGTGTGACTGGATTTGTGCTAACATGCAGCGCCTGGCATGTACCATATTTTCAGTGTAGGAATATGCAGACCGTGTGACTGGATTTGTGCTAACATGCAGCGCCTGGCATGTACCATATTTTCAGTGTAGGTATATGCAGACCGTGTGACTGGACTTGTGCTAACATGCAGCGCCTGGCATGTACCATATTTTCAGTGTAGGTATATGCAGACCGTGTGACTGGACTTGTGCTAACATGCAGCGCCTGGCATGTACCATATTTTCAGCGTAGGAATATGCAGACGTGTGAATGGACTTGTGCTAACATGCAGCGCCTGGCATGTATCATATTTTCAGTGTAGGTATATGCAGACCGTGTGACTGGACTTGTGCTATCATGCAGCGCCTGGCATGTATCATATTTTCAGCGTAGGAATATGCAGACCGTGTGACTGGATTTGTGCTAACATGCAGCGCCTGGCATGTACCATATTTTCAGTGTAGGTATATGCAGACCGTGTGACTGGACTTGTGCTAACATGCAGCGCCTGGTATGTACCATATTTTCAGCGTAGGAATATGCAGACGTGTGAATGCACTTGTGCTAACATGCAGTCCCCAGCCGTGCTGCCCATCAGAAGCTTGGGCAGAAGTGCCTGGGCCCTGGCTGGAACCTGGGTTAAGAGATGTGGGTACTGAGAAGAGAGGTTGTGATGAGTTAGGACACATTCAAGGAATGAGAAGGGCTAAGACACGTAGCAGACCCCCCTCAAAGATTTAGGGGAGATGAGAAGGGGAAGAGAGAGGGCTAAAGAGAGCGAGAAGAGCCAAAGGCAACTAAGACAACGACACCTTTTGAAATCAAGGAAGAATCATCAGTAATGGCAAATGTAGAAGCTGGAAGGATGAAGACGAGAGAGGACCACTCCATTCCTGACTAGGAGGCTGGGAGTAGCCCCATGGAGTGCTGGCTGGGGGGGACCGCCAAGGACGGGGAGTGAGGGAGGGTGGGAGCAGCAGATCCCGGTGGGTCTCAGGTCGGTGAGTCTTGGAGGCAGCAGTCCGAGCAGAAGTTAGAGGATCAGCCGTGTTTAGATGGGGGCTGTTCCTTAGCTTCGGGTGTTTGTTTCGATCTTAGCTTTGGGCAGATGAAAGCATACCGAAAGTTCCAGAGAGAGGGATGGTAGTCTACCTCCCGCCCGAAAAGAAAGACCAGGAAGAAATGCTTTTGTAGGAAAAAAAAATCGGAGAAGACATTTTGCATTCTAGAGACAGGGAAGGGAGAGAACCTAGAGATTAGGTGGCGCCCCCTCATTCGGGAAGAGCCAAGTAAAGAGAGGCACCTGGGACAATGAATGGAAAAGGGCTATGCTCCTGCTAGGACCTAACACCCACAGACCAGCCAAGACCAGAGGTGAGATACGGCAAGGCCGGAGAACTGGAAGTCGGGGCACAGGCCCAGCCTGCCCTGCAGACAAGACAACCTTCCAAAATACAGCTGATCAAAGCCCACCACGGCAGGCTGAGGACAGGGCCCTTCCTGCCTCCTCTACCCCAGTCAAAGTGTGATTACAGCAGCATTTAGTGCCATGGCTTCAATAAGGCAGCAACACATCCCGTCTACCGCTGATGAAAAATCCCGATGCAGAAGCCCAGACTAGGAAAAGCGGTATGAATCACTGTGCAGTGGAACACACACAGATTCATGTCCATGTGATTATAAAGCCAGGAGTTTAGGAGAAGGAAAAACATAGAAGAGTTACTTTCCTTGGAAGGAATTCGTCTTCTTTCATATCCCAAGACAGTGTGGCTGTTGCCTAAGGTTGGACTTATAGTTTGCCGGAGAGCACATGACCTTGGTCACATCCAGACAGCTAGATTTCTGTTTCTGAGATAATTTATTAAAAGGAGAAAACACCTTTCTCTTGGTTATTTTTAGCCGCATCCATTTTCCCCTAAATGTGACATCTTTCCTCAATGTGACAACAAACCACAATCTACCATTTTGGGCTGCCCTCTAGTTCAGGCCTTACACGTTCCACAAACTGAAGCAGGAATTTAAGCCTTAAAGTAAACATACATTTGAGGTGATGATAAAATACTTTATAATGGGACACTTGATAAGCTCTTATAAAATTCAAGTAAAACATTAGTGATAATGTGGGTTAGAAAGAAAGTGTGTAAGTAAATGTAGGAGGTAAATGCACAAAGAATTGTTAACACATCTACCCGGCTTGGTTTTTATTCGGTCACAATTTTGATGGGAAAAAACCCAATGAGGACTCTGATGACTATTTCAGGTTTTTAATGTAGTTTAATAGTCTTTAGGAACCAGAAATATAGTGTCCACCAAGTACTTCTTGGAGCTAAACTTACATAAAATCAAGTGTGAATTTGAAAAGGAAACAGAGAATACAAAGATGGTCAGGCTATCTTCAGTAAATATGGAATGACATCAAATAACACGTTTTAAAATCAGTTTTCTTGAACATTCAGAGTTGGAAACATGTTGTAGCCTCCCTAATGTTAAAATAATTAAAAAGAGGTGACAAGAAACAACGAAGAGGCATTTCTTTGTAGCTGTCTTTTCTGCTGTAGGGAGAGAGAAGTTAGCAGCCCAGATTCAGGTAAAGAGCAAGAGAGACAAATAAACAGACTTCCATCTTCTGTCCTCAGTATCTCCTTGATGCTACTGTCCAGACCCCTGCTCCCGCCTTGAGTAGCCATGGTAACGAGCAGAGCCAGCTTCCCCCCATGCTTGGGGAACCCTGAGAGCAGACCCTTAAGAAGGCCAAGTGTGGTTCCATTCTCAACCAAAGAACAAGGGAGAACAGGTGCCCAGCCAGGGGTTGGAGGAGTCGAGGACTGACGACAGAATCTGGAATTGAAAGCACCTTAGACTTCAACTCATTCAACTCCGATCTGACTGACTCACGGTCACACGCCACCTTGGTGGCAAGGACTCCACCATCACCCAGAGGTCCTCACCAGCGCAGCACTCTGCTCCCCACTTCTTACTGCCTCTTAAGCCAAGAAGACAGCTAGGTACTGACGAGGAATCTGTAACCGAGCTATCGTTATTTCCCCTAAGCCAAGCTTCTTTTCTGTGTCTGTTGTTTTATTAAGGACACTCTGCAGTTTGTGCAAGTAGAGAGATGGGAATGGTGAACCCCACGCGCGCATCACTCAGCTTCAAGTACCAACTCGTGGCCAATCTTCTCTCATCTATACTCACCCCTTTTCCAGGATTATTTGGAAACAAATCCCAGGTATAGTATCATCATTTCTTTTTAAATATTAAATGCTCAAAAAAAGTATATAGCTGCGAATACATCAGAGACCATTTTCTTTAGGAAACTTTGTGGTATTGCTCACAGCTCCAGAACTGAAGCCAGCTCTCACCTCGGCGCAGACCAGCGAGGCATGCTCTGTGACCCTGGACACACACTGACAATATGAGACTGTGGTGCAATGAGGAATTTTGATGAAGTGACTGTTTTGGACTATAAGCATGGAAAAAGCTGAACTTACATTAAGATATATTAACGAAATACCACGGATACTAGATACTTGTTTAAGTTGGGCTTAATTCTGGCCTGAAAGTTAAAGCAAGCTTCCTCCATGAGTCCATCTGAAAGGCACTAAGTGGTACAATTCTTGAGGTTAACAAATCCACAAAATAAAGTAATAATAAAACATTTTCACACCAGTGTGTTTATGACTCCCCTGGGACAGAGATCAGTCCTAAAGACATGATGGAAATTTAAAATTAAACAATAAATATGGCAATATTTTTCTTTTATACAGCCTTTCAAATTTTGCCCACAGAAAAAGTACAGCAAAAAAGACATTTACAACTTTTTACTTTAACAGATAGGACTGTACTACTGCAACTAAGTAGATGGATATATAATCGAATGTGTGTGTGTGTGTGTGTGTGTGTGCATGGATTGGATAGTTGCAGCTACAATGTTGGCAAATAACATTTCGCCTTTTAATTTTCCACTTTACCTCCCCCCCCCACACACATCAGTTTTTATATGAATTTACAGGTATATATTTAAAGAACTATCGTAAAAATTCAAAATGATTAGGAAAAGAAGGCAAATCAGAATTCTATGTTGATTCATCCTTAAATAAAATCATTTCATTTAAAATATAAATTAATTTTCTTCCAGAAAAATCCTGCAAGCTACAATGTTTTACCTTTGGACAAATTTAACAATTTATCTTCTCTTCTAACAAAGGTACGATGTTCATACCTGCTGAGGTTTCTCTAAATTTGTCGCTGGTCTTCTTTTTCCTCCATTTCCAAGGCTTAAAGATTTTCCCAATGGAGGAGAGCTTCCCTTTCCTCTTGAAGGGGGGTGTTTGGGAACCTGCTGCTGGGCCATCTGAGTTCGCGAGAGACGCCTTGTCCAGTCCGTCAACTGTGTGAAGGAAAAGGAAGTCAGAAAGACTACTACTACCAGCTTGCAATAGCATCATCCGTCTCTTCCTGCACTGCGACTAACAAGCACGCTCGCTTCAGCTGGAATCTCAGATGAAGTTTATTTTGCCCATTTCCCAGCTGGTAGACCTCCCTTGATGTCAAAAAGTGTAAATGAATCAGAAAGTATAGTCCCCCAGGTCATCATTTTGTGGAAATAGAGAAGAAGCAAGAGGCTTACTTAACAGGTAGGGACAGATAAGTATGGGTTTCTGAAACAGCTGACTCCACGCAACAACGACATCAATATTTAGTGCAGAAACAGAACATTCTAAGTATTTCTGAAATAGGATGTTTCCCCAAAGGCCAGTTTGGCATTCTCAGCGATGAATATTCCGGTTATGGTTTCTCCTTCACACACTCAGATTTAGTGCCAAGAAGCTAAATTCTAACTTTCACAATGCTAAAACTATGTTTTGCTTCTATTACGAAAAGTTTGCAGCCTCGAATAAAGGATAACTATCACTACCAACAAGAAACGGGGAACACATGGGTCCTGAGTGTGACAGACGTATCTCTGTGCCTAGTCTTGTTGTTAACCAGAGAAGGGCACGGACGGAACTGTGTCGCCTCGCTCTGTGTTCAGAGCAGAAGGAAACAGTGATGACCGACATTACCCCAACTATCAGATTTTAATGGCACAAAACTGGAAGCAGCCTCTATTGGATACATATCGTGTTATTTCTGCAGTGAAACGGCACTTAGTGATTTAAGAAAAAACAGGCCTTGATACATACAACATGACTGCATCTCAAAAACACTGCTGAGAAAAAGCAACTTGCAAAAGGGCGCACACTGCGGTTCTGTTTACATGAAGTTCTAGAAGAGACAAACCAAATCTGTGGCCAACCCCCCTGAATAATAAAAGAAGAAAGAAAGAAAAAAGGGGAGGGGAGGGAGGAGAGGGGAGGAGAGGGGAGGGGAGGCGAGACAGGAAGGCAGGAAGAAAAGCAGAACAGTAATTGCCTCTCGGGGGTGAGGTGGTGGTGGTAGGAATTGAGAAGGGGTGTGAAGAACTTCTTGGGGTGATGGAAATGATCTCAATAAGAGATGGATTATACAAAACCCATCAAATGGTAATTACGATATTATGCACTTCACTTTATGTAAAATTTACCTTTAAAAAAACCTAAGTAGTGAAGTCCAATGAATGTTATCCACACTGATGTGTTTAGGGGTAAAGTGTTCTGATGTCAACTGAAAATAATAAATGGATGGGTAGATGGAATCGACAGATAAATTCAGGGTGGGGCCAAAGCAGGTTTACAGTTGCAAGTACACGAAACACAAAGTTTATTCTTGTGTTATTAATTAATTATTATAATTAATTTTTGTATCATTTTCCATACGAACAACTGTAAACCTACATTTGCCCCACCCTATACACAATAAAGCAAATTACAACAAACTGTTCAGTGCTGAATCGAGGTGGCAGACATGTGTGGTTAACTGGACAACAGTTTCATTTTCAAACCTTTCCTAACAAAATACTGGGGAAAACAAAACAAAAATGGAACAGCTAGGATTTCTGCTTGCTCACTGGAAGATGGAACAGACTTATTTCCACCCCCATTCCTCCTGTTAAATACTAAAGAGCCCTAGGTGTTATATATAAAACCAACAAAAGACGACTCTGCAAGGTGAAAAGAAAGTAGAGCAGCCTGGGACCTCAGGACCCAAGAAACAACATGGAGGTTAGTTCGATCCCTGGGGTTTCTCTTTGTCTCTTATAGACCAGACTTGTAGCTGAATCAGTCACCAACCTGGGAGCACAAATGGTCATAGACCAAAAACGCCTCAACAAAACGCAAAACGCAAAGGAGTAGGAAAGGAACGGCCTAGCAAGGCTTGAACTTCTAAACAACTGCTCTACTCCAGCCAATCACAGAAGAAACTATGACCTTCCATGGCAGCAAAGGCAACCAATCACGTGTCTCTCTCACATCAGTGTTTCTCTCCCTCTCTCCCCCTTCCACTCTCTCTAAAAATCAATAGGAAAATGTCCTTGGGTAAAGAGTGACAACAAAAATTACTCGGCCTACTAAGAAGCAGGAAAATCCTGAACTGAATGAAAAAGCACAACCAGTACATGTCAGCGACTAAATCCTTATGAGTGCTCCTTCTAAACAAGAATGATAAATCCCATTCTTCCCACTAGTGACGTCTACTCAGATTTCAGGTAGAAATGAAGGTTCTTCTGTGTATGGCTCCTGCCCTACGTTACCTGTCCCTGTGGGCCACAGTCAGTGGGCAGAGAGAAGACACAGACTGACTGTGAAGCTAAGCCAGAGTGAAGAAGCAGAATCCTTTATTTCACCTCCACGCCTGTCCAACTGCCTTCCTGAATGAGGGGAAAACCCAGGGAGGACCTAAGTGCGTGGTTTTTCTTTTTCCCTTTATGCTGAATGGATCCATTTTGACAAATTGAAAGGTTGTGAAATATGAAAGGGTTGGCTATTACAAACATAGGAAGTGAAGTTTCCGTCTGTGCAGCACATCCTAGTTCTCATTTTCTCTGAACTGACATATTCAATTCCCTGACACGCAATCCCCTGCTTTGCCCTGGCTGGGTGGATAGTTGGTTGGAGTGTCGTCCCACACCCCAAAAGGCTGTGGGTTCAATTCCTGGTCAGGGCGCTTACAGGAGGCAATCGATGGATATTTTTCTCTCACATTCTCTCTCTCTCTCTTTCTCTAAAACCAGTAAGAACATATCCTCAGGTGAAGATTAAAAAAATTGTTTGCTTTGGTCCTGAGCCAGTTAAGAATAGTCCATTTTTTCTCCTGAAAACAAAAATCAAGAAAAACAAAAATCAAATAATTCCCTAGGTGACAGAAAGTGACCCATGGGGGCGGGGGGTTTGAGTGAGGTGGTTGAGGAGTGAAAAATGAAAACCTTAATGCTAAATCCGTCGCGGCACAAGACATCAGCAGCCATTATCTGTCTCTATGAGGCATTTGCAATTCTATACGTTAGTGCTGGGAAAATAGCCTGGGCCAGCGCCAGCGACCACAGCAACGCGCTCACATAGACTGTTTCCTGCTTGCATGCGTCCACCTGTAATTTTATCACTGTTGGTTATTATAGTAAACCACACTTGCAATTAGAAACCACAGGTTGGCACAGCTGGCCAAATTGCCACTGCTTCCCATGACCATGAAGGGGACCGTTATCTGCATGAGGAGTATAAGCAGAACATCAAAACCCCCTTCTTCCCTCCAGACCCCTGGGGTCCTGCCAGGACCACTGATATTTCCATAATCTTTTTTTTGGCCCCACTTTACCATTAAAATTAGTTTGAAACGTTCTAAAAACTTTTTTACAGCAAGTCCAGTGAGTTTTACATGCACACGAGAGCAAATTGCCAGGTTAATCCCAGACGGAGTCTAAGTTTCCTGAGGGCTTCAAAGGTTCACTTCTCTCCACTGCCATGCTACCGAGAGCGATCCGTCACTCATCAGAACTTTCCTTTTCACACCTGAGGTCAGCATGTCAAAATATTTCAAATATAACATTTTAAAAATATTTAAGTATATTGCATACAGTTATCAGTTATTCAAATGCAGTAATTTTCAATAACACAGCTCAGTCTCTTTTCCCACCGAAATAAGCTCACACTCAACAGGACGTCCCCACACCACCAACTGCTAGAAATTCCGAGATTACAAGCAGGTTTAATTTTTCATTTAAACAGAAATTTCTCACTAAAGTCGTCGCAGTACAAATATGAGATGAGTATAGAAGCCAAAAATAAAGAGGCTAGAGAATTAACATACAGGTTTCGATAGTCTTCCCTCTAAGACCTGAGAACTGACTGACAAGGATTCCTAGAAAAATTAAATCTAATACAAGAGTTTGTAGTATTTTGATAATATTTGGTAGTTGAGTGACATTTTAGATATTTATTTTAGATGTTTCTCAATGCAGAATTATTTCAGTCACCGAGGAAGTGAGACCAATGTGGCAGGGTATTCTGACTCCCACATTTTGTAGGTAAAAAATCATTTAGGAAAAAACCTCAATAAAGAACTCCTGGTATGGATTCTATATAAACTGATAGCCACTCTGTGCAAAAGGCAGCTAAGATAGTCTTAGCTTTCCTCTAAATATCCTTAAATAGTCTAAGGTTAATGAGAATATATTTTTGAAGCCCAATAGTAACAAAAACAAGTACAGAGAAATCATATGTGGTTAGAAATATGCTTTGACAGTACTTTGCTGCATTAAGTATATGCTTACAATAGATGTTAAAGTACTAAGAAAAATATACTCATTACAAGGGCATTGTACAAAAACACCTGACATTTTAAAAATCAAGAACTTAAAGGAAGCAAAAATAAACCAAAATAAATAAATAAACAAACAAACAAAAACCAACCAACCAACCTTTATTTCCTTAAAATATTGTTTCTAGGCTATTTGAGCCTTTGTAATTTATGATGCCAACATAATATTATTACTGTATTTTAATTTGTATGATGTGTTTGTTCCCATTATAATTCTGTCATTTGTCCCTTGTTGTTGGTGGTGGTTCTGTTGTTAATCCTCACCCGAGAATATTTTTCCACTGATTTTTAGGTAGGGTGGAAAGGAGGGAGGGAGGGAGAGAGAGAAACATCAGTGTGCGAGAGACACATTGATTGGTTGCCTCCGCAGGACTCCTAAGGCCAGGGATGGAACCTGCAACCCAGGTACGTGTCCTTGACTGGGAATTGAACCCGAGACTTTTTGGGGCATGGGGTCGATGCTCTAACCACTGGGAAACACCAGCCAGGGCTCTTTAAAGGCCACAGAAGTATGGCAAAGAAGCATTAGAATCGTGCTTATGGAAGATAGAACTTTATTTCCTGCACTCACGTGCCTTCTCTCTACACTGACACGGTGACCTAGGAAAGGTGTCCTCACCCACAGGGCCATGCGTACAATTTCTGGGCACACAA